GCGACTGTGAACACCGTGCACACAATGGAAAATGAGCTGTGTGACCCACTTCCTGGCGAAGCTTCTCCCCCTCGGTGGTCGGGAACCAAACCACAGCCTCTCTGAAGTCAGCCTGCATCAGGCATCACTGTCAAGCCAGGCCTACTGCCCCAAATCCCAGGCCTGACGGGCCACTTCCTCACTCAGATCACGTGGCCAGGAAGCCACATGAAGCAATTAACACCACACAAAAACAAGAGACCGCCTCAAAACCGACAAAGTCTAATTGGCACCACACTTAACAGTCCTATGCCTGGCTTCCCAAAACTAGACACTCCAGAGAGTACGTGAGAAATTAAGAACTTACACAACTTGGGGGGAAGGCTGGCGGGGGGCGGGGAGGGGGTGGAACAAAAACCATCTCCAGCTCTGGCCCAGGGTCCAAGCTCCTACCCCTGCTCCATCCGGCCCCAACCTCAGGCCCACTGGTGGCAGACGGGTGGGCAGGCAGGCTGCCCTGCGCTCAGGTGGGCTTCAGCGGCGCAGGGATGTTGGCGGAGGCCTGCTCCAGGTAGGCCAGGGAGCCCTGCGGGAGGTCAGCCGGCTTTCTGTGCTGCATGTGGATGTCGTCCAGCACCTGCTGCCAGTGGCGCAGCTTGGTCAGGTGCTTCTGCACCAGGGCATCCTTCCGCTGCAGCTCGTTCCTCAGCTCCGAGACGTCCTGTGAGAAGGAGAGGGCAAGTTGGAGACAGCTGCGGGGGTGGGGCGGAGGTGTGAGTTCATGGAGGGCAGCAAGGGCTTCGTTCGGGGCAGAGAACCCACCCCATCCTGCTGCCCAGCCAGAGCCAGAGCCAGCCCTTTCCTGGGCTGCTGTTGGAGTGGCCGACAGCGGGTCTTAGGTGGCAGTGGCTGGCTTACTCTGCCTGGACAGGGAAAGCAGTCGGTCTGATCAGTCTGACCACTGAGTCCCCCGGGACCAGCAACTAGGAAGCCCGAGCCTGAGCACCCAGGACCCTCCCAAATGAGCACATTGCTGGGTCCCAGCCAACCAGGAACCAGTTGTGTATTGAAAAACCCCAGGCCCAAGCTCAATGGCCCCTTTCTTATTAGGAAAAGTATTCCAATGAATAAACGGCTGACCCAACCAACTGTGAGAATACCATGTCCTTATCCCAGTAGCTGTTCAGGCACGTTTTTGGTTACCTGCTCAGTTGATGGAAGTCATTACCCAAACATGCCCCGTCCAGACCCAGCCCTCCTCACTCGGCCCTGCTGGCTGGGGCAGGCTGGTTCCCTGAGCTGATCCACTGCATGCCACACCTCAGTGGCGGCAGACCACGAATTCCAGACAGCGGTGAGGAGAGGAGGCAAGTCTGGACTCCCCAACAGACGGGGTGGGTTGGGCAGGGGTGGGAGGACCACTCGAGCTGGTCATCCACATGACCAGCCTTTTCATGAAGACCGTTTCCTTTAAGAAACATCTGCCCAAAACAGTCCAGCGCTGAATCTACAGAGGGCAGCAGAGTTGCTCTCTGCTCACCACCCCCACCCACCCTGTATACCAGGCAGCCATGATCACTGACCAGAGTGACATTTTATACCCAAGCCCTCTGCCTGGGGTGTGTGCGTGCTGTCGTAAAGCATCCCTGGAATCCCGTCACCCGAGGGGCTTCCTGAAGGCTGAGGGAGGAAACAAGCCCGTACCTCTTTGATCACTTGCTCTGGTTTCTGGACAGATAACTGCAATCTCTTTTGCAGGAAAAAGCATTCAGTCTGTCTTGCAATATCCAGAAACTTCTGGATACACTGATCAACACCTAGGGGGATAGGGGAACAGACTGAAATGTTAAAAGGCCCTAGGCACAGCCACCTCCTCAGAAATGCCTTCATGTGCCGTGCTAGGTTCTCAGGAAGGCACCCTTCCCACAGGTACACGCTGGGCTCCATCCTGGCCTCGGCAATGACAATGGGCTCCCAAGACCCCCACCCCCCCAGCCATTGTGTTTTATCAGGTGAGCAGGAGAGGCCCCAACACAAACACCACACACACTGCTGAAGACCCAAACCAGCCCGGTGCTGCCAGGGAACCACGAGGGCCTACCACAGGGCATTGAGAACTGGGAAGCCCTGGGGACCTCTGGGGACAGGGCCTGAGGGGAAGGGGGAGTGGGGTCGTGTGGACGAAGCACAACAGGTGCTTGGAAGGGGTGTTCAAAACAAGACTACACTTAGGTGCTGGGCAGGCCTACCGCCCAGCAAAATGCAGTGGGAGCAAAATGTAGGACAAATTCAAAACCATCAAAAGACCAGACTTAGGACCGCCTCCCTCCCCGCCCAAATAAAATGGAAAACCGATGCCCTTATGCAGTGAATACATGGGCTATCCGCAATAATGAAGGACGCTCACCCCGAGGAAGAGAACAAAGGCGTGTGGGGCCTATGAAAGATCAAGCACTCGTGCGCATGGGAAGATCCCATCAAGAGAGTACTGAGAGCGCCCGCAGACTGGGAAAAGATATTCAGTAATGACACATCAGACAAAGGTTTTTTTCCCAAAATCCACAGTAAGAGAAAGACCAATAGCCCACTGAGGAGGTGGGTAAAGACTTGAATAGAAGATTTACAAGGGAAGAAACCCGAATGATCAATAAATATATGAGGAAATGTTCCCGATCACTAGCCACCTGGGAAATACAAATCAAAACAATGATGAGATACCGCCTACCACCCACAAGGATAGCCCAATTCAAGAAAACAGACAGCAACAAATAAATGTTGGTGGGGTGTGGTGAGATAGGAACTCCCATTCACTGCTGGTGGTGTTCTAAATACACTGGTGTTCTAAAGTACAGCCACTGTGGAAAGCAATTTGGTGAAACCTAAAACAGATGGACATCAAGTTAACTCACGACCTAGCAATTCCACTCCTGAGCACATACCCAGAAACATTAAGACATGCCTCATGACCAGACATCTGCACTCTCCAGTGTTCACTGCCCACAGGTCACAATCGCAATTACTTGGAAATAGCCTAAGTTTCCATCACTAGATGAATGGGTGAAAAAACTCTGGAGTATACACACAACGGAGTACTATGCATCCCTAAAAACCAGTATGAAATGATGAGGCACCCCGTCTCGTGGAAGGAGTGGAGGACATTATGCTGAACGAAATTAGCCAAGCACAAAGGGGCAAGTACAACATGAGTCCACTGAGGTACATTCAGTCAACAGAGCGGGCATAGGGGAACACGTGCACACTGCACAGTTCCTGGGCTGAGGACCAGAAACCCTGGCAGGAGCCAGACTAAACACAATGTACACTAAACACGTGTACATCAGTACACGTCATCACAAAAAATGGAAAAAATATTTAAAAGATGCAGAGAGCAATGATGTGGAAAGACATCTCTGCTCACACACACAGCCCGCCAACGCCTTAAATAGCCCACAGAGGGGTGGGGGAAGAAAAAAAGATGGCAAGGGGGGAACAAAGCACTGACCTGCCCACTGGAGGCAAACCAAGAGGGGAGCGCAACAGCCCAGCAATGGGAGCAAAGCCACGAAGTCCCAGAGGAATCCCAATTGGAAACTTCAGACTCGGGGGCAGCGCTTGGTACCTCATCTGAACTGGTTGGGGGATACCCACAAGGGGTCATACTGAAAGTTAAAGGTGGGGGCTGGGGGACTAGACTGCTCCATCCTTGACTGCAGGAAGAGCAATGGGGTCTTCTTGCAGAAGACATGCCCATCTGACATGAATGCTGAGGACTGAAAGGTGTTAAGTGATGTTGGATAAGCGGTTCCTGGGAGATGATTCTGGAAAGGGGATGGACTGATGGATGCTCAGGGCCTGCTCGCTGTTTAACAAAGAGATACTCATCTACTCGGGGTCAGGACAAAAGTTAGAGGGAAGCAATGAGCCAATAACGACAGGGACGGAATAGCAAGGGATCTAAAAGTGACGGTGGAGAGGGTGTAGCTTTCCTGGTCATGTTTCAGCAAAAGAAATGGACCCACAGGTGTATTTACTGAGAGGGGAACAATGAGTAAACATGATAGTGGGGCAGGAGCAAAGAAAAAGAGGAAACAATAAGTAAAAATTATATATGTGTATATAAGCATATAGTTATGTATACTTGTAAATATATATTTGTATTTGTGTACACACACACACACACACACACACACACACACACACACGGAAGCAGATGGACTTTGGACCTCTAATCTCTTACCTCAGTACAAGAACAGTTTATTGTAAAATTGTGGTGTGATGCTCACCTTTCCTGACAAAATCACTGAAGACAAAACGGGCGCATAAGCAAATGTGGCAAAGAAAGCTGACTGTGCCCAGCTATTAAAAGACATAGTGTCTGGGGTCTTAAAAGCATGAAGTTAAACAAGTGGCCATCTAGCAGGGAAGCCAAAAAGTCCACATGGACGAAGCACACCAGCCTGGGTAATCATGAGGTGTTGATGGGAATAGGTCTCAAATGTTCAAAAACAAGCAACCAAATTGACATGAAGGAACATAGGCAAAGTGGAGATAGGGTGGGGGAGAGCGGGGACAAAGGGGAGCTGATACCAAAGGGTGCAAGAAGAAAATGTTTTGAAAATGATGGTGGCAATTGTACAATCATGCTTGATCTAATTGAACTATGGGTTGTTATAATATCTATAAGCGCTCCCAATAAAATTAGACCAGACTTACTGGTCTAATATAGACTGGCAGAACTCAGAGACTCAGCCCTTTCAAGCCTGGAACAATTCCCTCACACCCCAGGGATCACCTTTCAGCCGAACAATAGACAGACCTACAAGGTGAACAGTCACACCGGGAGAACCTCGCTCCTCAGAATGTGCAGCCACAGGTGATCAAAGAGCAGCCCCTACCCGAGACAAGGAGGGGAAGCTGGTGGCAGAGGCAGAGTGTGGCAACATTGAGGGGGCCACAGCAACTCCAAGAAACAAGATGAGAATAATCTGCTGGTTGGAAATCAATTCTGATCTGCAAACTTTCACCAAACCAAAAGAAATAAATGAAACAAAAAGCCCAGAGATAGCAAAAATATTATTAACAGTAACAGCTGTTTTTTAGGGGCACTGCACACCATGATGATTATTTTAGGTGACTGGGAGCCCTGGCAGTGTAGTGGCTATGTATGTGGCTGCTAACCATAAGGTCAGCAGTTTGTAACCACCAGCTGACTCAAGTGTGAACGATGGGACTTTCTACTCCCATAAAGAGGTACAGTCTTGGGAACCGCAGGGGCAGATCTACCCTGTCCTATAGCGTCACTGTGATTTGGAACTGACTCGACGGCAGTGAGCTGTGTTTGCTACACACTGTTAGTGTGCCTCGTTCAAGAACCAATATGAAAACCCCAAGCCTCTTTGCT